TTTCCCTCTAGGCTTCCCTTCTTTTTCTTGATATCACCCGATCTATTGCTCTTCCCCTTAAACGCCCCCCCCCCACTATCCATTCCCTCTGCAGCACTGATATATAGAAAGAGAAGGAGGGGGGGAGAAAAAAAAAGGAAAAAGCGTGTGATTAATGTCTTTGAGAAAAAGATAAATAATCACAGGAGACTGGGGGCTGGTAGTTGGCCTTAGGGGAGTAAATATGGAGAGTTTTATAGCTGCTCACTTGGGAGAGAGAGGGAGGTGGAGGAGATGAGAGGGGGAGGAAAGGAATACAGCGACAGCAGATCCATTCAAGTATATTAGCTTTCCCCCCCATACACAATAACCTCAGCATCTATTCTATTGCTCTACTCTCTTTCATCATCAACACTGAATGCCATCCCACTGACAGTACACGCACACACACCAGACGCCACACAAAGCCAATGCACGCTTGTGTGCACACACAAACACACCCTCACAACCACCCTGCACTTTTTTTTTTTCCCAGGCCAGACCTACTGTATGCGTTTGATGGGGCCAATACATGTGGTGTGTGATGTGGCTGACAGCCCCCCTCCCATGCTGCCCTGCTTTTAAGCCCTCATCCTCCAGTGGCTGCCTGTCCCCTGGAGTAGATTACATCTTTTATTTATCATTTTTTTCCTCTTCCTTGGCTTTATTTTCCACAGCCCCCAAAAAAAAGAAGAAGAAGAAGAAAAAAATTCTGCGGCGAAAATTGCAATCAGCATAACATGCCCTCCTCCTCCTGCTGTGTACTCGCCTGTCATCCTCCTCTCTCTGTGAGCATGCAGGATGAGACTGACAGCCCGTGCAGACGAAGACACACACACACACACGCACACACAGATGCATGCACAATCCCCCTCTGTGTTTATCAAACCCCCACAGATAATCTTTTCTCTCTCACTCTCTCTCTCTCTCTCTCTCTCTCTCACACACACAAAAACAAATGCATGGCCAAAGAAAATGACCCCCATTCCCCTCTTTGTTACTATTTCGGACTATATTCTCCAAATCACACACTTACGCGAAACTCCTCACTGACGCCGTACACTATTTTACCCTGTGCTGAGTGTTCAGCAACCCTCAAGCCCCAAAAGAGAGTGAGCACATAAATGAGTCTAATGCTGGGGAATCTGGTAAACAGGCCAGAGAGGGAGGGAGAGCTGCCTGCCTGTCTGTCTGTCTGTCTGCTCCATGGCTACTATTGTGCACTGCACATTCTCCAAGCCCACAAGAGCTGAAGCCATCTCCACACAGATTCTTTGGAGGGATAGTAAGCCAAGAAGTGAGAGAGGGAGCAAGGGGAGAGAGAGAGAGATAGAGAGGGTGAGGGAGGGAGGGAGGGAGGAGGAGGAAGAAGATCATGCATAAAATCTTGTTTGCAGAATGCATTAAGATTCAGATGAACTGGGGAGGGTAATGGGATTAGAATCCTGAACCGTTTCCAAGGGTGGGGAGACGGATTGACAGCTGAGTCTATTGCACTGACGATTGCAGTGAAATATTGTGGCTCTGTCAAAGGCAGCCAGCCAGCCAGCCAGGCAGGGAGGAAGGCAGGCAGGCAGGCAGGCAGGCAGGCGGGTTTGCTGAGCCTACAGCACCTCTGTTTACTCCGAGATTTACCAAAAAAATAATGCAGCAGACAGGGGGAAAAAATGTGTCTTTGCCTTTACCAGCTGCATATAGCCTGGGCTTTGACTGAATATTGGGAAGGAAAACAGAAACAAAAAGCTTCAGTCGGTCTCACAAAAGGTGTTTGGCAAACAAAATAGAAGCACTGTGGCTTTAAATCACCGTCCCTCCCACCCTTTCTAAATATCGTCTATTTAGCCAGCGGTGAAAAGATATAGGGGGCTTTTGTCTGCGTACCCATTGGTGGGGGCATGGAGAGCTGGAAAGACATAAAAATAGGAACAAAGTGCTAAGCTTCCAATTGGGATGGCTCTGGGCAATTCAATGCGCGCAGCTCAGTGGGCGAAAACAGGGGAGAAGTGGGCTACTATTACGGGCTCGTCTGAAAATAGGCTATTCTCACACAAGCTGAAAGACTGGCGTGGAAATACCCTGCATTGTTTATAACACACAACGCTATAAGGCTAACACAAGCCCTCTAAAAGTGTGGCACGGTTCCATGGGAAAAAGGCAAACAGTGCGAGTTATTGCTTATTGTAGGCGGTTTTCCTGCCTTTCTGTAACGGTCCACTCACCGACTTGCAATACGTTGTCCACCCAGCCACCCTCCAGCAGAGTGACACCCCGTAGGAAAGGCAGCTGGGTCTCGTCATTATTGTCCCCGCTAGTTCCACTTTCCTCTCCTCCGGCGTTGAAAGAGGAGTACATACAGATCTCCTTCTCGCTCCTCGGGAACGACCAGTATACGATCCTCCGCTGGACGGGTTCCGGGATCCTCTCGAAGCGCTCCTCCACCCTCTGGAACGGCCACTTCTCCGCGACTCTGCGCGCCGCGATGTCGAGCAACGACTCGGGGTTGTGCGTTTTTCCGTTCCCCGACCCTCCCGGAGCGGACCCCGCGCCGCCACACAGGACTCCTCCAGCCCGCTGCCCCTGCCTGCACGCCGGGTTGTAGCCGGGCCTGCAGCAGAGCCGCTTGGCTGGGGGCTGCTGGACTCGCTCGGCCATGATCGCACCGCTTCCAACCTGAAGCGCAGTTCCTCTCCGATCATATAAACGGGATAAGGAAGAGAAAAGGGCAATCTCGCACCGATTGTTTGCCGTACATGGAGAGGCTGCCCTTATTTGGGAAAGAGAGGCGGCGCTTGCGAGTTCCGTGAAGTCCTTTGTGTTGTCAAAGTAACCGGGATGGGCGGGATCCTGGAGCGCTGCCAGCGCACGAGTGGCGCTATAAAAGGAACTGGAGGCGGAATTCCCGAACGTCGGCAAATCCTTTGTGAAGCCGTTCGGGAGCGCGAGGGCGGAGCCCCGGCGGCCGACGGCCTTTGAAGTTTCCTCCTTATTTGAGTTTAAAGGCGGGGACTTAATCCAGGGGCGGTCTCGCAGTTTCCCACAGGGGTAAAAGGGGGCAAGAAAGCGGACTTTTTTTTTTCTTTCCTTTGGAGCCTGTGCTACCACCCCGGGCTCCAGCTTCTTCAAAAACAACGTGATGGTTGTTTTCGAGGCTTAAGTCCAAAGGACTCTCAGCTGTCAGAGACAGAAAGGGCGTGGGAGGAGGAACATGAAGATATGGAGCTGGACATGCTTGTCCTCTGGAGCCACTAATCAGTCATTTTGGTCAGCTGTCTGGCATCGGTTAACTATGCTGCCGCCTATGGACAATTAATCACTAACACTTTGAAAAACAAGCTCGCTCTCTCTCTCTCTCTCTCTCTCTCTCTCTCTCTCTCTCTCGCACACACACACACACACACACTGACCATTTAGACCTTATCTTAAGTTTAAAGGAGCGCTCCTCTGAGCTTTACACATGAAGATTAGTATAAATGCAAAGCACCCTGGTGATGCCATCATGGATCATCTTGGATTGCTTACAATAACATTTTAAACTGAAAAGTCACGCTCTCTGCTCTACACCAGCAGTTGAGTCTATCAATAGAAAAAAATTCAAATGATGTTGGAAATTCCACAATGTCTGGCCAGACTTGTGAATTTTCTTGTAATCATTATGACACACACCACTAGGAGCTGGTTTTACTATTGTGGTGCAGTCATTTTATGGTCCTGCTTCCTGTCTGTTGTTAATGCTAGTTGAATAGCTGCGTCATGAAAAGGGGGCCCACTTCTGTCGGAGAAAAATAGTCATTGGGTTTAGGGTGCGGCTGCATTGCCCACCCCCTGGGTTCTCCCTGCCTAGTGAGACATGTAACAGAAGCTAATGATTATAAGCATATAACCAAAAAAAACACCAGATTGGAGATGTGTTTTTAGATTGTCTATTAAAACTTGGCCACGAACTATGCTGGCAAACCAGAAAGTGTGTTTGCAATGTGTTTGTCCTCTACATGTGTTCGCAGCTGCCCCGCTCCTTCCACTGTGAGTATATCTAAAAGGCTGGCCTTTGAACTGCTCTGAAAGTGATCCATGTTGTATGGACAGAGCAGATGTGGCCTAACCTGATTTGGTTTCAATACTTCCCCACAGGAAGTTCACAAAGCCAGCAGGTCCGTTTTTGTTATGTTAGCCATTTTTCCCAGAGGGCCAATGGAGCCTTTTTCTTTTCTTTTTTTTTTGTTACACATCTATTGCTTTTTCATTTGCTTTATTCTTCAGACAGAGCAGTTCCATACATGACCAGAAGTTTCAACAGCTAGCCTATATGTCATCTGATTCTATGTCTAGTATCAGAGTCCGCCACATTGTGTTTTGTATTGTTAATCTGTATCCAATATTTTACAATAATCACTGTCCAGCAGACATCGTTTTGGAGGATGTTCATGATGGAAAAACACACACACACACACCCACACACACCCACACCCACACACGCACACATTCTTTCTATAGGGAACCCTGGCAGACCAGAGAGCTATACCCACACTTTTACTTTTATAAACTGATCATAATCCAACACATTCCTTCCTCTCAGAGACACAACATTTTACTTATTTTCACTGACATTCACATTTGAAACTCTGCACCCTCGATAAATAAGACATTCTCAAATGCTTTGATTCCACAGTAATTAAGCATATGGCTCACCCTTGCAAAGTTCTTTTTAACTCACATTTGACCACTTATTCATGTTCCTAAAATTATTTAACAATAAAAGAACAACAACAATAAAATAGTGTTATGACCATCCTGCTGCTTTCATTCACTCTTCTATAACACTGTACAGGTACCCAATTTCTATGGAATAGCTTGCAATAGTATAGCCAAAGCACCGCATTAACTACTGCATCATTTTTATACCCTGTATTTTGATCATCTATAAATCCATTTGCTAAGCCTAAAGGACTACATGTCCCATCTTTCCAGGAACGCGTCATATCCAATCACGAGCTGGGAGTCGGACCACGTCAGCTAACGGTACACTTCCTGGAATAGGGAGGAGCTGGTACTTATTATCGTGGATATAAACATCATCTCTGCACATTGGTAAGTTTATTTTGTATTTAGTTTGTTTTCGGCACCACTTGATTATGAAATGTACAGATTCGTTGTTTCGTCACGTTCATATGCATTGTGGTTACGCCTTTAGCCGATTGTCAGTGCTCTAAAGTTAGGCCGTTATGGATGGGCGGGGGTTAGCTTGCTTAGCTAACGTTAGTACAAAATGTAAATCTATCATCTGTGGCTCATATATTTAGATCTAATCCTAGTGGCAGACAAGGTAAATGTGTCACATAAGCCTGTGTGTATGAGGCTGTTGCCAGAGTAAATCGTTTATAACTGTTTTCAGAATGTAGCTAACTGATGCTAGCTTCGACTCGGGTTGATGCTAGTTAGCCAGTAGCTTGTGATCGTTAGCAATTTGCGAGGGACTGTCAAGTCGGTGCGCTCAACAAGTAGCAATAATCTACAATAACTGGCTTTATACAACCATAGTGATGTCTTAATGTATCATGACAGTGATGCCAGTCGGTAACATTGTGACAAAGATGGTCCATGGCGTGATAACATGTTTCAAAATGTAATGTAAGCTTCCTATGTTGACCCCAGAGAATTGGGAATTAGCTAGCTAACGTTACAGCTAACATTACAGCTAACGGTAGTTGACATACAGGGCCAGTTTATATTTCTTTGTGACTAAAGACTTTATTTAATATCCTTAATTTCAGTAGTCAATATTGTGAGAACATTTACTAAGTCAGGGGTGTTTTGTCAGTGTCGTATGTAGTAACGTTAACAAACTATTATAATGTATGTATCATTTTATTTCATCCGTCGAAGATGTATCATTAACGATTGACGAAAAACTCTGAATATAGTTACGTTGAGTCCAATTACCCTTGATTCAGCAGTATTTGAGATTTTATGACTTTATTGACTAAATAACCACTACTACTATTTCACATTATGTGCCTTAACCATTACGCCACCAGGAAGCCCCAAAATATTGCCTGTATATAGTGCTTTATTCTCTTGCATCAATGTGAGAAAGTACCATTGTCAACTATTCAAATTGCTGCTTAGCCTGACCGGTTATATATCTGGTGTAATGCTAGCACTAACCACAGTTTTAAAGAACCAGATGTAGCTTTGTCATCTTGCTTTTTTTTATGCACCCAGCAGTCCAAAACCAATAAATCTTTGCTTGTTGTTATATATGTGTTTTTTCCACAAATCACTCTGCCTTGATTATTCACCGCTTTCTCCCCTGGTACCCTTTCTCAGGTTTGTTTAAGCCTCATTGTTGCCGACCAGGATGATTGACGTTCGGGCATGGGCAGAGTATGTGGTGGAATGGGCTGCCAAAGACCCCTACGGTTTCCTCACCACTGTCATCCTGGCTCTCACACCTCTCTTCATTGCCAGTGCACTGCTGTCCTGGAAACTGGCCAAAATGATTGAGGCACGTGACCGGGAACAGAAGAAAAAGCAGAAACGTCAGGAAAACATAGCCAAGGCCAAGAGGACCAAGAAAGACTAAGCCTGTGGGTAGAATGAGGGCATACCAAAAAAAAGAGGAGGAGCAACCACCACGCTCACAGTCCTCCTTATTCCAATAATGACATGGTGCCCTTCGTTGTCCCAGCCCTGCTGTCAGCACTGGGCCACTACGCCTCATATCCAGGGTAGGAGTCTGGCCCCGCGGGCCTAACAGTGCTGAGACGAACAATACTGCCTGAAGGAGGCTCATCCCAGTGGGACTTTGGTCAGCTAGAGCACAGTGGTCCTCTGTATGATGTTATTGTACAGGAATCCACTGATAATATTGTGTAGCTGTTGAAACACCTTGCATTCCATTGTTAGCGTCCGTGTTCTGCTGAATTGACGATTTAATGAGCATACTGGAACTTTTCCCCAAAATATCCCAAATACTTAACTTTTTAATCAATAAAGTTTTCATGGTTGATAAGAAAATCTAATTTCCTCTTTGTGCATTTAATATTGGACTCTGGAGTGCTTTTACTTTTAAAGTATTCATCCCCTAATGTTTAATTGTACCAGAGTGCATTTAACTGGGCTTTCATGTGCTGGTGGTCAAAAAAAGACAAACAAAACAATTCTCTACAAATGTGGAGCAGCCAGTTGTCTTTAGAAGCAGCATAAGTTACAAGAACTTACCAGTGATAAGTGAATTTAGGTTGAATACCCACTGCTGGTTATTAAGTTATGTAACAGCTGTAAAAGGTGCCTTTATTAAATATAGACTTGAAAGGAGAGAACCAGGATTGTTTTGGGCAGGTTTTGTTATTCAGAATATTTAGTATTTTTTTCTATACTGTATGCTCTAAATTTAGATATATTTGCAAAGATATGTGTTCAATTTGGTAGTCGTCTTTGTTTTATTAAAAACAAATTACACTCACTGTGACTCAGTGTAAATTAAAACAAAGTCCAGTGAGGTGGATACTTTTATAGGTACTGTGATTCTTGTGAAGAAGCAGTGTAGACGGATCATTCTAAGTAGACGGATGGACCTGCACACATTTCTTCATATTTCTCTTGAAATTGTATTTCTCCCTGGGTTCAGATGATTTAGACAATCATATTGAGTTGGGAGACTGTTTTCATCTCCAGGATCCTAGTTTATGCTGCTTTTTTTTTAAGCCCTACTGAACTTTCTCCAGCAACTCTGTGACCAACATGCACTCTGATCTCAAGTGAAAGGACTTCTTACTGGGGATCAATATACCGTAACATTATTCAGTCCTTTGACCACAATAACCTGTGGTAATGAATTACCACAGTATTTAATGCTAGTATGGTTTCATGGCACCATCCTCCTGGTCTCAGCTGACGTCAATGAGTTCAATTTAGAATCAACCGTGATCTTATCTACGTTATTCCCACAGGTTTAAACATGCTTTTCCACGTGCTCCCTCAACAAGTAATGCTTTTCAATCTTTACAATGTCAAATGTTGCTCACTGAGGGATATTTAAAGCAACTGCACAATTTCTCTGGTTCAGTTTACTGGTGAGGAGTAAATGGCAATTTCATTAAAATAGTTACAATTTATTGGAAAATGTACAATATCCCTTACACACTATAGTAGTTGGTGAACTCCTTGACTACTGAAAGTACGACCATTTCAGTTGTGGTCCCGTACAGTCGGCTTCAAGATGAGCGATGCTTATTGTCTTGTCTTATATACAATATACAGAGCGGGACTAGAAAAATGGAAACGCGTATATAATGTAATACAGGCCAATAAAACAGCCTTGAAATAAATACTTCCTCCGTGAAACAGAGAGGAGTTGATCAAACTGGTCATCTCAGAAGTTCTCGTTTCTCACCTGAAAGTGAATTTTAGTTTCACACAGGAAGTATTTATTGTTGCAGGGTTTTTTTCGATTGGATTGTATCAAACATCACAGCGGGCTCAGTGCATGTGGATGTCTCAGTCTATTTCTTGGGCAGCCAGGAGCCGGGCTGGAAGGTGTTTGCAGTGGTGGTGGGGTCTTCGCTGATCTCCTGCTTGCCGAAGCCGGCGGTGGATGCGTGGCCCTTCGCCACAGTCTTTGCCAAAGTCGCCACCAGACCTTCCTCATACTCCTGAGCCTGGAGGGCCAGATCTTTCTCCTCCACCGCCTTGGCCTTCAGTTTGATGTTCTCCCTGTAAGACTCATTCTTCAGCAGCTCCTATAAAAAAAACACACAGGTGGATGTACAGCACATGCATATTCAAGGTTTTCTGCAGTGGTAACCAAATTAAATTTAATACATCATAGAATGCAATTGACATTTTTTTTTTTCATGGCCACGCCTGTCAAAGAATGATGGAAAACCAGGAGGGATAATGTGGCCTAGAATTATTTATTAAGTATATGAAGTTATTGAACATTTTTTTGTCAGCGCTTCCCGGCTATATAACAAGAATTCCTCGTAATAGGATCAGTTTACGTGACCTGGACCCAGATAAGCGGCAGAGGATTAATTAAGCGATTAAAATGCATTGATTTAAGTTTTTGCTGAAATCAACACTCAGCGCATTATGAATCGATGAGCTTCCTACCCGCTGTCCTGTTTGCTACAGGTTTGATGCCGCTGACTGAAACTCCTCCTCCTGCAATCCACCGTCACAACTAACCCACTTGTAGATTATAGATGTATGAAGCCTCCATATAGCCCGCAGCCATATGCATTGTTCATGTTGCCATCTACGACAGATATTCAAGACCCTTGTAAACAAATTCAAGGCTTTCTATTGCCTTACTTTTTGAGGGATCTGGATTCTTGCAGATACCCTGATATGGCATGTTATAGCCTGTGACACCATGTATAAATGCTGGTCTTTAGGGGTGGGTGATGTGGATAAAATCCCCCATCATGGTATATGTAGTTTTTGTATTTATTTTGAGTATAACGATACATTTCAAGGTACTTTCGCGCCATATCGCCCACCCCTACCAGACGTCATCTACAAAGGTCTGTGGTGTTGGCAATGTTGGGGTGGCGGTTTCTTGAAGATGTGAGAGAGTGGAGTGTGACTACAAGATCACTTGTTGGACCCTCCAAACTGTCCTGCAAAACCAAACCAGTGCTAACTTTCCCTCCTTCCATCAACTAACTCTGAAAGGCACAAAAAGTCAACTGCTCACCGGTCAAAACAGAAGAGTCCCGAAGTCGCACTGGGAAGCTTCCAGGAACAAATGTGTCCGTCTGTGTATGAGGTATTAACTCAAAAAAAGTACCAACGGGTTCAGTTAAACTAAACTGTTTAAAAATGTAGCGCTTGGAAAGGATCGGTAAACCAACGTGACAGGAGGCAATAAAAAAAACAGCCATTGCAGCTCATGGAAACATTTAGAACCCGAACATGCTGTAGTTCACCAGTGGAATAGTTACCCACTTGAGCCACAGCTAGTGTCCAGTGATGTGAGCCTCTCCCTAGCATGAGAAGCCAAAAAGGAAGGGGGGGGGGGGGACTGGGCATAATGCTGTTGTGTTCTGGCAGAACTGAAGGAGTGGAAAAGAGAGGGGCGAGCCGTGGCCAAAAAGCCCCGCTTTGGGGAGGGAGACAAACATACTGAGCTGCTTTTCCAGCCTGTTAATGACAGGATTTAATCCAATCAATTTATGTCGGCTTGGACCGGGAAGAGAGAGAGCGTGACAAGGGGTAGGGTAATGTGCTGGGAGTGAAGCCTTGGCCACATCAACACTGTCCAGCTGTCGGTGGCAGCTATTGGGCAGACGCAAGGCAGAAAATTGGAAGAGAATGTTCTGGCAATGGAGGCAGGGGATGGCATTGGCCACTGGCAGGGAGAGAGGACAGACAGATAGAAGGAGTGCCTGGGTATTGGCCTTCCAAGGGATTTCCTATAGACCCACATTTCGCCAGCCAAATAATTTCCAGCATTCTCGCATTTAAAGAGCAATAAACCCAGTGAGAGGTACACGAGGGGGGGGGGGGGGAACTGCTCTCACTTCACCGTTCCTATCTTGGAGACTGCCAGAAATAAAACACAAAAAAGCCGAAATGCAGGCTTTTTGCTGGAAAAAAAAGAAAAGAAAGTAAACTAGGACATGGTGTCAGTGAGCCCCTTGTTCAGAGGCTGTCTTTGCTCTCCGCCTCGCCATCAATGCACTTCAGCTGCTGTTTATTTTAACACCTGTCCCCCAAAGTTCCTGGATTCAGTTCGAAACGGTAAGATAAAAACAAATCAAAGCCTTTCCTTGCTTCTTTCCCTCCCTTGTAACCAGCCCCCCAGAGTCCAACCATCAGCACAGCGGGGAGGCTGAGGGGAGACGTACCTTGGCGGAGGGGGGCTCCTTCCGTCTGCCTCGGATCCAAGCTGGAGAGGAGGAAGAGGAGGAGAGATGAGGAAAAAGAAAGGAAAAAAAAAAAGAAGAGTGAGAACACCCACATAAACATATGCTGCACAAACAAAACCTGCAGTCATATTTCAAGGCTGCAGCTATAGCATCACTGGAGTTTCGGGGCACTACAGTAACGCGGTGCATAACCAAGCTAGTTGAGGGGGGGGGAAATGTAGCCGGGGTTTTCACTTTGTTTAGTTTCATTTCACTTAGCGAACCATGGGGAAACCTGCAGAATGGTAAAAGTTATACACATGATAAGCTCAACACACCAGTGCTGCTTTAGTGGAGGCAGAGCGGGGCCGCTGAGCGCCGTGTCTCAGAAGAGGCAGTGTGAATCGACTCTGATCTTTGGATTTGAAAGTACACACTCTGTCATTCTCCATCAGTAGCTCTGTCCTCTCTCCTCCTGAGTAGAACTGTGTCTGTCTTCTTTTTTTTTTCCTTTTTAAGGAGCTCTATTTTGGCTGAGCTGGCTGCACAGCAGAGCAGGTTAAAGGGAGGCAGAGAGAGAGAGAGAGAGAGAGAGAGAGAGAGAGAGAGAGAGAGAGATTTTCTAACTCTTCCTCCAGCTAGCGCAGGGATTCTGGGCCTCTTTTATCCCTCTCTTATTTGCATCCTGATGAAAATGCATGAGGGATGGGGCGAAGCAGGATGAGGGGTTTAAGGTGGATAAAGCCCGTCTGAACAGTTTGTATCCAGTTGTAAGAAATTTGAAACACTATTTCATGACACGGTTGTATAACACCAGCAGAAGGCGTCTTTGATAAACTCATGAATACGCTTTTCCCTACCCCCATCTCACTGTATGCAACCAAAACAAAAAAGAATCAATGGATTAGCCGAGGCCCCAATAGATGCAGCCATGAATCTGTTATTCCATGTATTTTGTGCAGCACTTTGTGTACCGTGCTGGGCCGCTCTGCAGTTAACATTTATCCGTGTTAGTGATAGTTAAAGCACGTGACAGTGATGCTGTGGTCCAGACTTACCGTCCCACTCCATCGGTATGCTGCCCTCGATGTACTCATATTCTGTAGGATTGGCTGCCTCTACCATCCGCTTGGCACGAACGAGCCTGCCTGGAAAACCACAAAAATAAATGAAAAAAAAGTAGAGAAAGAGGGGAGCAAGAGATGCTCAACGGCGGTGCATACGAAACGCAACGGAACACAAACAAACACAAAGAGGCGCGGGCACAAGGCTCTCCGTCTCCTGCTCGCACAGACACACGCGAGATGCAGACAGACGCACAGACACGCAAATACACAGAGGAATGACAGCACTGTGACAGGCCATGGATGATTACCTCGCGGCCCTCGGGCCCTTCTCCTCAGATCTCGCTGAGTGGCTCCAAATCTGGGCTAAGCCTTTATGCAAATCAGCCTTCCCTTTAACCCAACCAACCACAGCCCCCCTCACTCGCAGGCTCTTCCAATCGCGGCGCTCCGGCTAACAATGCCCTCCAAAAATCAACATCAAGCCGAGCCGGAGACAAAAGAGGTCAGATATCACAGAGAACAGGAGAGGCACGAGCCGCGTGGAATATTAAGTGCTCCTCTCCCTATCTGTATACAGCACGACGCTCGCTAGCAGCAAGGCCACCGCCAATTATTTTTGGTCGAATCTGCTGATTAGACAAGTTCGGCTGGCACGCAATGACATGGAGACGGAGGTAGATGGGACAGGGGGAATGGGGGGGGGGACAATGTAGAGACATAGAGACAGAATAAGGGGGAGCGAGAGAATTAAGAAAGAGCCAGTTGCGTTGTGTCTTTATACAGTGTTCTCTACTAACAAGTGTTTCCATAGTCTCTCCTCGCAGGTAGCCGGATGTCCGTGCATCGCTCCCATCCCTCGAAGAAATGATGAGGCAAGGAAGGAGGGGGTAGAAGGAGGGAGGGGGAGAGAGAGAGAGAGAGAGAGAGAGAGGGAGTGATGATGCATGGCAAACATGGCTCGGAGAAGAGAAATGGATGGGCAAGGAAAACAACACGCTCCAAAACACAGACAATCTGTCAGGATTCCATCACCGTTTCTCTGCAGCTGACTGGACATGGACAAATGGAGGCAACCACCTCCATGCACACGGCAGACTGATGGCCTTAATGTTTGCTTCAGCCATAACAGATAGCCGTGGCGCTGGGATGGATGAAGGATGGCACTCAAAAGTGGCTGAGTCAGCGTGTGCGCGCGGGAAGGCCGCGCTTGCTCGTGCCTTCTTCCCAAAAGTTGATCTGTTTTCTCCCCCCCGTGAAGACAAAAACGTTTGTTCACGCATGTGCTGCTCTGTGATTACGCCCTATGAGCAGGATTCCTTCCCATACTTTATCCAGCCTATATAGTAATCAGGTCAGCTAATTAGGCTATTGCTTTGGTTTCTGCGTTGGCTCCCACTAGATTGTCACTATAGGGCTTCACAGGCTCCAGCTCTGCAGCTCCAGTTTTCTTATATCCAGGTCTGACAAAAAAACACTGCGTCCTGTCACCTTATCCGCGACGCTGGCCCGGCATCGTGTAAAACACATCCTGTGATCCCCACATGTGTTTACACGTGTGCCTTAAAAGGCCTTCTGAGAAACGATTTTCTTTGAAAAGCCCCCCCCCCCCCATGGTAGCAGAACAAAAATAACTGCCAGCAAACAAAAGGCTGCATTCTCCAGGCAATACTCACAAATACGTTTAACAGGTATGCTAATTATAAGACAGATCCTATCCGTGTTTGCATTGGCGGGGGAGGCAACAGACGGAAATGGTACAATTATGATACAGTCTCCAAAAGCAATGTGCTTAACTACAGCTAATGCCTAACTAATAAGCATAAAGAGAGGCACCCACTTTTTCCTGTCTCTATCTCTCCGCTAGGTTGTACCCCCCCCCCCTCTCGACCACACTCTAACATGGCTCTCCTCTTGTCTTGTTGCTTTTTCAGCATGACTAAACCCCTTCCACCATGGCTTTTATCCCTGGATTTGAATAACAAATACAGTATGTACATATATTTATGAAACACGGCTGATCCTCCCACCACACACACATTGGGAGGAGGCTTGTCGGTCTGATTGGGGGGGGGGGGGGGATCTCGCTCTCTAGGTAATCTCTGAGCTGGGACAACTGCAGAACAACACATAGGCCAAGGCCACGAACCGTACCGCTCTACAAATATAACTACAAAAGTTCAAAAGGAACGCACCACTTCTTCCCAATCGCATTATCTCACATGAGCTGGGACAGATGAACAATAAAACAAGCAACATACATTACTTGTGGACGTTGGTGTTATTGAAGAATGGATTTACTGCGTATAGGCCTACTCCTCACGTAACGTAGCATAACACAATTGGCCTGGCACATTGTTTGCATAGTGAATTCTGAGCTCAGGGGGCCGCCTGCAACAGCAACAATTACTGTCATTACTAATTAATACATTATTTTTTTTACTGTCTTTTTTTTTTTTTTGGCCCAAAGTCTTAAAGTTACTTACTTTGTTTGATCCAGTCAAAAAATAATAATATAAATACAATTTTAAATAATATATATCTATTACAATGATATAAAATGTGCAAAAAGCTAAAAGCTGTAGTACTACTAAATGTTACAGCATGAAAAATACAACCGACTATTTATATATTATTTTTCAAATTGAAATGTTAAAAATAATGAAAAAGGAGGAGTTTATATAGCTGAACGTTTGCTTCTGTCTGCACCCCCCCCCCCCCCCCCCCCCCCCCCCCCCCCCAAAAAAAAATTTGCTTCATTAACAATATTTAACCAGTGAGTTTTGTTGTTTTTTTTACTGGAAAAAATATCAGTCGAGATCCACTGATTATCAATAGAACGAGTAACTGAATTATATAATCCTCTATGTTAGCTTCGTATAGTCTGTACTTTAAGATCTGTCAGGCAGTCAGCAAATTGGGTGTAAGCTATCTTTCTGCTTCACAGTTCAGGCCTCAGAGAGCCAAAGAGAGGGAGAGGGAGAGGGAGAGGGAGAGAGAAGTGGGAGACAGAGAGAGATGTGAAAGGTGTTAGGAGCTCTCGATCTCAGCGGGCCCCTTTGTGACAGGTCTGCCTTCTCATCACTCACTAGGGGAAACCTACTTACCAGTCAAACACACACACACACACACACACACACACAAACAACACACACACACACAAACAACACACACACACTGGCTAGAGAGCAGGCAGATTAACCTGAGGGACAGGAGCGAGGACGCTGCCTCTTACCGTGAAGGACAAACGCAGCACTGCGTTGGAGAGGGGGGAGGGGCCAGCGGCAGGAGGAACGAAATCCCACCGCATAAATATTCATGAGCCATCTCACCTGTCTGAGCGCGACTCATCTGTGAGCCCGGCTGTGAAACCGGGGGGGGAGGAGACGGGCGAGGGGGTTGCCTTGGCAGCCGGGTCGGGAGCCAATCAAACAGCAGGTACGCCTATCCTTCCCGTTCGTTAGAATAAGATGTGATGCGCTGAGGGTTGCTCTTTGAACCCTGAACACACCCCGCTAAACTCCATCACCTGCTTCAACACACACACACACACACACACACACACACACACAACACCCCCGACTTCACACATCAGCTCCTAGGTGAGTGCTGCTGGGGGCGACCTGAGAGGTTTTTCACCTCCACAATGTCATTCTAGAGCACCTTGTGCTGTCTCTCTCTCTCTCTCGCTGTGTGCCTTTCTCCTGCACTCCTGCCTTTGATTACGGAAGCAGATGTCAGGGGAGCGCGCTTCGATCGGCAACATCCGGGTCTACGGAGAGCCCTAAAAACTCAAAGACAGGAACGAAACAGAATGAGCTCTCTGCATTCGACTCCAACGGGTGGACCTACGTCTCATGCTCCTCGTCATCAACCCCGCCGTCTATCCTGCAACAACAACAAAACAAAAAAAAAAACAACACCACGTTCGCTCGTCTCTGAACAGATTGCAAGGCAGACAAAAGCTCCCGCTTGCAACTCGGGCTCTCCCTCTCGATAGACAACAGAGCAGCTTCCTTGGTCTTCACGGCAGTGGTGGTGGACGAGCAGCGAGTTTTAGGCCCGACACTGTGGCGGAACAAAAAGCAGTCTTGAAGCAGCGAGCCCATCAGCCTGCTTTGAGCCTAGTTTATTCCTCTCCAGCAGAGCTGTCTGCTGGAGAGGGACCAGGGACCAATGCCTGCATGGTAATGGACAGCTTTATGAAGATGGAGTGATCCGATAAGCATCAAGGGCAACCAGGTACCAATACCGACACCCTCTCCGTCTCCCTCTCTCTTTTCCCCTGGAAAAAAAATGGAGGGGATGTGTGAGGCCTGTAACCATGGTTACCTATTAGCCCTGAACCTAGTGACGTGGGATGAGGTTTAGAGGGAACAGGCCAGCCGCTGTTTTGCATCGGTTCTGGTGAAAGGAGGAGCTTATAGGCGTAAAGTAGGCCTGCTGCTGCTGCTGCTCGACTTTTTTACTCAGCCCTCATTCTGTTTGTCCCTGTTGCTGTCGATCCCGCTGAGGTTTGAGCGACTCACGGCAGAACAGAGGGGAATAATTCATATAAAAAGCAATAACACGCTGAAAAGAATACTCTTGATTTCCCCCGTGTGTTACTTTTAACTAAACACGGGCGCACTTGAGGGCGGAAGGGACACTTTACCCCCTTCCACTTAAGACCACCCATCCTCTTGAAGTCTGTCCTCTGCCCGACGGGTTATAGAAAAGGGCCACGGCGAGCCAGGAAGTCAGCATCCTTTGTGAGGCTGTGGAGCGTTGTGGACCGCCCCCCTCCTCCCTCCCTCTCCTCTGAGGCCCATACGTGTGATGTCCATACACCAAGCTGTCCACCCCTTTCTATTCACCTCCATCACTCTCATCCAACCCCCTTCCTTTTCCTTCCATTGCACCTTCAGTCCCACCACCACCACACACTCTTCCTCCATTAACCTACCTCCACCTTTCCTCTCTCCCCCTATATCTGTCTGCCTGTTCCACCCACTCATTTCACCCTCTTTCTGCCAGAAACCCTCCTTTCACTTTCACTCTCTCCACTCTTCCCCCTACTCTACAATTTCACCTCGTGTGTCAGCATCCCCCTTGTTCTTTGTCACTCACTTTCTATACCCCACCCTCTGTGAATCTCCCTCGGCCTTATCTCTCCTCCCTTGCTCCTCGCCTTATTTCTCTCTGCCTGTCTGCTTTATTAAAATATTCTGAATTGAATAAGCAGCGGCAGGCTCCGGGAGATGTCTGCTTTTGGGTCGGTCCGTCTGTCAGTCTTTCTAGCTGAGTTTCTGACGGACAAGGAGCCCCGAGGTGTCAAAACATCTCGCTGGCCATCTGACCAGAGAGGGAGACAGAGAGAGAGACAGAGAGAGAGAGAGAGAGAGAGAGAGAGAGAGAGACGAATGCACCGGACAGTGACTCACATCCACGCCAAATGAAAAAAAATAAATCAGATTAATTTGTTGTCTTCCTTCTGTTGGCGTCATCGACCCGCATTGAAATAAAAGTGAGACAGGTGACACATAGATACAGGTCTACTGTAGATATGCAGTGTTTCAACAGACCTGCATGGTTGCTTGATCTACTGATATTGGAGCTGGGCCCATTTGGGATCCTCTACCATAAGAAATAAATGTGCCTGTTTCTCATTTTCGGCATCTATCTTTTTCAAATGCCTTTTTAATGAAGTAGTTAAGCCACTCCATAACGCTCCACCACATGCACATACAAACACACACTTGGCAAACAGTATAAAGCAAGATGAGCTAAACCCACTTGGTTTCCCCTCCTATAATGATTAAACAACCTTCATTTAAACCCCGTGCATTGCAAAGCTGCTGATCAATTAACGTGATTTACTGCGGCGGCCCTGGACATAGCCGCTCCATCGTGAACACCGACTGGGTGTCCTACAGTAGGATAGACCCTCCTTCATCACACCCTGGGGATGACTTGTGGCAGGATAAACAGCCATTTGGACCCTCGTCTCTCTCCGCTGTGACTCTTTCCGTGGAAATATGCGGCTTGAATCAACGCTCTGATGACACACAGCCATCTGTTGTTGTGTTAAGTGTGTTTGGGCATGAAGTGGAGGGAAAACACACAATCGCAGCTTTTTTCTCTTCTTTTTAAAATACAAAGCAGATACAAATGCCGCACACACACACACACACACAGTGTGTAGTTGTTATGCCACACGAGCACACAACCTCAGATGCACACACTAATACAACAACACACACACACACCCCTCCTCTCTCAATCCCCAGAGTCACCCATCCTGAAATAGCAGAACTGAGGCCTTTTCAGTTTTTCACTTCATAGAACAGAGCTGGGGAATCAAATAAATAATAGACAAAGAGAGAGGGATAGTGATAGGACGACAAGTCAATGCATCTTTTCTCTGCAACAGCGTGGCGCACCTCTGAAGAACCTCCGAATCCCTTCCATTCTCCACACAGTGGAGAGGACCAATAGATTAAAACTGCATGGCACACACCGCTAAAATGAATAGCACTAAAAATACATCCTTTTCACCGAGACATGAAAGGAAACTGCCTTTCCCCTGTCCAGTATTGAGCAGCCATTGATTCCGAGACAAAGGCTACACCTCCTCAAAGAGGTAAGAAAAATAGCAATCATACAGGCAATTATTTTCAAATGTGCCTGCAGCGGCCGATAATGTCAGTGCGCCTCTCTTCCTAAATAAAGGGAGGGAAGGCAGGCGTCAAAGCTGCGGGCCCAAAGCTGAAGACGAATGAGCCCATCCCGCAGAATGCCTCGCTTTCATCTGGGCAGCATGACATGGCGCCCCGTGCAGTGTGAGGCAGAGCCGGGCCTGGGGGGACAGACGCGCACAGATAGAGGGGAAGAATATAGATTCTCTATTCAGCTCTATGGAGCCAATACACCAAGGCAAAGGCCTTCTAAAGACCAGTGGCCAGATTGCCAGTGGCTTTTCTCTTGTTGCCCTGGCATAGACAACAATCACTGGCGCTCCACAGCCTATAGCCTGGTTCTCTCTGTGGGGCAGAAGCGCACAGTGGGCCTCTTTAGCTGGACCTTTTCTAAAGACGGAGACAGACATTCTGCTTCTATAGGCGTGTACTTCAGACTCGGGCCTTTTCATTTTGATGTGCAGCAGCAGCATCTGAGGAGAGGGGGGATAGAAAGCACTCTGCTGGGCCCAGCCCTCCACACACACTGCTGAACTATTCTAATGTTGTGAATAGAAATCTTCACCGGACTGGCTTCAAAAAGGAGGAAAAAGAAGAAGAAGAAAAATCCAGAGGCAGCAATGACGGGAGGGGCTAGGGAAGGAAGGGTTAGCCGGAGAAAAAACAAAAGAGGTCAACCAATAGGGAGGAATCTGGCCAGTTGTTAAAGATCAGATGGGACAGAGTCACATGAAGCTTTTATTTTCCTTAATGTCCTCTCATACGTAGCCTGCCACACACGGAATTGCTTACGCCCCAGTTTTCTAAAGCAAACAGACTGAGAGAGGTAGAAGATGGGAGCAGCAAGGCATGGATAAAGGTGGAGAGGGATTGACTGAACACTGGGGATGGACAAATGAATGGAAGAAGTAGGCAGAGAGAGAGAGAGCGAGAGAGAGAGAGAGAGAGAGAGAGAGAGAGAGAGAGAGAGAGAGAG